GCTGTACCTAATTCAATGCCTATCTTTATCTAGGGTTTTTACGTGTGACTATATAAGTGGTAGAGTAGAACTGGACAGTGGACACTCTAATTCCATGAAGCTGTATCCAGACTTATCCAGTTTTAGAATAAAAAGAACGTACTTGAATTGAACCACCCAAAGCGTTTGCTGATCTCTGATTTCGGTCGAATACACCAAACTTACAACCAAAACAAAATCTTCATCACTATGTATTCGAAAATAGCTCATTTCCATACATATGAGATCTTCGAAAATCGTCAATTTCCATGGACAAAAATGGTGATCAGCTGACTTTTCCTGACTTATCTAAAGATTACATTACATTACTTTCTACAACACAAACATAATTCAGTTAATTTGTGTTTTTACCAGGAAAGTTTTGGGGTAGTTTTGATTTTTTCCATTTCTTATGTATTTTGGGGTGCTGAATCCGAATCTGAGGTTTGCCAACAAAAATTCTTGACGCAACATTGACAAAAATGAGAAAAATATGGAAAAAATGATATTTTTTGTAATATTTAGCTTATAACTCACAAACTATCAACTTTTTGTTATTAGTCTATATTATAAAAATTAAAGTACACAAAATTTGCTACAAAATGTACCCCTAATGTGTAAATCTCCGATGAACCGTTTAAGCTCCAGAGCTATTTGAAAATTGGAACATTTTGTGTTAGTTTTTAAATTTCTCCAATTATTCTGTAAATGACATATATTCATTGTATATGCCCAGGCAAAGGTCTTGTATAAATACAAAGTGTTAAAATTGATTAATTTTGTGTTACTGAACCGTTGACATTTTATTTAGTGTACAGAAAAGTTACACGAACTGTTGCCGTTAAATTATCCTCGCCCAGAGGGTTGTAATGAGGCAGGTTCTGGCAAACGTTTCGATGCATTATTTGTGAGCATTCTAGCTTGTTCATCTGGACAATAAAAAAAGGTTAAAAGTAAAAAATTACACATAATAATAAGTGATACCAAAATCAAAATTATCAAAATTAAAATAACACCAATCTATTAATCATGTAATATCTTATGCACCTGATGACGTGATAATAAGATATACGTAAATAATAAAATGTTATGTAGGCATATACTGTTGCTAAACATTTACATTGTGTGTAGATTTGATAGATTGTAGGTCCTAGGGCGTAGGGCATAGGCCTACATGAGAGTGGTAAGGGTTAATTGACTTAAGATAGTCAATACAAATTTTGGCTAGAAAAATAAATCCAAGTTGCCTCACTGCCCCCAACTCAAGCAGCTGTGTGGACATAACTCGCTTAGAGTTAACATTCGGGTGAATGAATGGGGGTGAAAAAAATTAGTACTGGCCTATGGTAACAGTGCCAATCACTCTAAGCCATGCATCAGTCTTGAAATTTTACACAGACAATTTTATAATGGGTGCCAATACGATTGAGGATGTACAATAGGCTGTGATGCTAAAGTCTAAGTAAGTAAGAAAGTAAGTATAGTACCTACCAAACGCACATTCCTTTATTTATTAACTTGTTAAATCTACACACAATATAAATGCTTAACAACAGTATATGCCTACATAAAATTTTAATATTCACGTATATCTAAATATCACGTCATCAGGTGCATACGATATTACATGATTAACAGATTGCTGTTATTTTAATTTTGATAATTTTAATTTTGGTATTACTTATTACTATGTGTATTTTTTTTTACTTTTAACCTTTTTTTAGTTGTCCAGATGAACAAGCTAGAATGCTCACAAATAATGCATCGAAACGTTTGCCAGAACCTGCCTCACTACAACCCTCTGAGCGAGGATAATTTAAACGGCAACAGATCGTGTAACTTTTCTGTACACTAAATAAAATGTCAACGGTTCAGTAACACAAAATTAATCAATTTTAACACTTTGTATTTATATAAGACCTTTGCCTGGACATATACAATGAATATATGTCATTGACAGAATAATTGGAAAAATTTAAAAACTAACACAAAATGTTCCAATTTTCAAATAGTCCTGGAGCCTAAACGGTTCATCGGAGATTACCACATTAGGGGTACATTTTGTAGCAAATTTTGTGTACTTTAATTTTATCATATAGACTAATAACAAAAAGTTGATAGTTTGTGAGTTATAAGCTAAATATTACAAAAAATATCATTTTTTCCATATTTTTCTCATTTTTGTCAATGTTGCGTCAAGAATTTTTGTTGGCAAACCTCAGATTCGGATTCAGCACCCCAAAATACATAAGAAATGGAAATAATCAAAACTACCCCAAAACTTTCTCGCTATGAGTAAATTTAAATACAAATTTACTGGATTAACAATACTTTGCCTGAAATCAACATAGTTACAACTGAAGTATGTTTTAAGTTCTGGAACAAAAGAATGCATCTAAATTTAAAAATCTTTCCTGGCTCCTAAATAGTAAATCAAAATTGACCATTGCAAACAAATTATTACTATACAAAGTAATCCTGAAGCCAATTTGGACTTATGGAATCCAACTGTGGGGAACATCCAGTATGTCGAACATAAACATCATCCAACGATTTCAGTCAACAGTTTTAAGGTTCATTCTGCAAGCCCCGTGGTATGTTAATAACAATATCCTTCACAAGGACAGTGGAATTCCTACGGTTGAAGAGGAAATAAATTTAGTGCAAAATATTTAAAGAAACTTGAAAATCACCCTAATCACCTGGCTCTAAACCTCTTGGACAACAGTACCAGTATATACAGGCTAAAAAGGATTCATGTTTTGGATCTAAGCACACGTTTTGTTTGAACAATTTAATTTTCCCTTGTTTATTTACATATTTATTTTTTCATTTAAATATTTTTAAGTTAGCTCTGTCAATGGACAGAGATTAACTAACGTTTTATTAAAAGTTGTTATTGTATTTGCTAAATGTTCTAAAAATGAACAGATTGTAAATAAAATTGTGATAAAAAAAAACTGAAGTTCCCGGTTAGCTTTGGTAATTTGTTGATGTTCAATCAGCTGAATTTTACAATAAACTTAATTGTGCAGCCGTATTGTGTTTAGATTAGAAAACTGAATTGAAAACGAAATATCAGATATTTTTTAAGTTTTATGAAGTAGTTTTTTTTCATCGTAATGAAAAATATCATTCAATACTCGTCACGAAAGACCCTTTGTACTTTCCGCCAACTTCCAGATGACTCAACAGGAACCAGTTTGTTTTTAGAAACCTGGTCGTGGTCACATCAGCAACTGCAAGCGAACATCCTCTATGGACCAGAGGAGGCGATTTCTAAATGTGAAGATGTTTTATAAAATAAGCTAAGCTCAAAGGAGGAGTAACATAATGATTCTTTATGGTTACAATGTAAATAAATACCGGGGAAATTCCAAACGTCTGGAAAACCTAGATACACACCATAACAACAAAATTTTTACGGCATGACAGATTTTACCATTTACAAATAAAAATCGTTTTGGTACTACATTAAAAAATCTCAATCTGCATTGGTTGGATTTAACTTGAATCGTCGTTGAGCATAAACAACTTAAAAATACGAATGGCGTATAAACACAACAAGTAGGGCCTACTGCCACCAGGGAATAAATAAACATTGTTACCGTAACTAATTCTGAACTGCAGTATAGATAAAGGTATGTTCAATCGATATTCTATTCGGTCACAGTAAAATGGCTCAAAGGAAGTGCGGATATGCGTGCTGACTGAGACGACAGTACGAGTGTGCATTTTGTACATAATTGACGTTGTTATGTTAGTACGGCTGCGGTAGGCCTGCAGTAGTACCTGCAGTGTTGACATGGTGTGATAACAAAGCAATCACATTTGACATATCTGACATATACATGATTTCTGTTGCCTTGACTTTTGCTAATTATAGCATGCAATGAGAAACACGTTCGTCGTGCTTGGTTGTCACACAATTCCTAAAACAATTCCCAGAAAAAACAAACATAAATAAAATATATAAATTGCGGTAAATGACGTAATTGGTGCATGCAACTAAATACTGTATACACTTGACTATATACTACAACGATGTGTTGTAACATTATATTGACATACCGTGTGGTCAAGTTGTCATGTTTCGCCGACTGCAATGCTAACTGTACCTCTGTACCACTTGCCCAGTATTAAAAGCCAAGTGATACAGCAAATTGCAATTCTGAGAGCCGATTTTGATTCAAGCAAACAAAAATGAACATAAATCTCTGTGAAGTTCTATTGTAGCTGTAAGGAATCTTCTCTGTTTTTATAACAATGATTACGCAAATTAATAGTGTAGCAATTCTTAAATAATCGAACTTTCTGAATTAGGGTAGTTATTTTTGGCAATTTAATTCGTCGCTTCACGACATACGACACCCTAATATCTATGACAAACAAAAAAAAAAAAAACAGAGATCCTTTGGTACCCACAGAGTAATGGTAAGTGCAATTTTTCGCCAATTCTGTAGGGACTCTTATCAACACCAAACACACGTACCGTACACGATCAAACATTCATGAAACTAAAACTAAACTTCAAACCTAAAATATTCTCGGAAGCCTTACAATACAAGTACAAACACTGTTTCGCTAATAACCACAAAATCTTAATAATTGAGATGTGAAATAATTAACATATCATTTAAGAGTAGGTAGTCATGTTTGATAATGACAACTTTGCTTTGCAAAAACAATGTAGGTAACTTACTGTGTTCAGGCAATAAATTCGGTAAAATTTTTGTTACCAATATTCTAATCTATATTCTTACTTCTTGCTACAGGATAAAACACATATGTATGAAATACAAAGAACAATTTGAACAACTTCCAAAATTATTATATCTATTTTTTAGATTTACCGTTATCAAACTTAACGAATCCTGCATAAACGCGTTAAAATTTGAACGGGTTTCTTTCAAACAAAAGCATAACCTTAAACACGTTTAAAACTCTTATTGAAACCACTTGCAAAAATTAAAAAAACTTACCTAGGTATAAAATAATCCAAAACGCCCACACCACATGCGTAACACAAAACGCGCATGAAAAGCAAGTCTCCACGCACTACTGTCACCAACAGATAGCGAAGACTGGAAGAATAATGGAATTAAACAAGTGAGTTCCAGTTCCAGCAGTCCTATCGCCAGTTGTGTGTGTGCGCGACGTGAATGCGCAGACGACTCGTTCGTGTTTGTTTACCATTGGAGGGGCGCACTTTCACTTTCTCACCAAAAGCATCATTGAGCTAGCTGGACTCCGTAGTCGTAGTCCGTGCTAAAGTGCATGGTGGAAGTAAGTGCACCACTGTTCTACCTTACAGTATTTGGTATTTTATTCCAAACACGAATATTAAAAAAAATTCAGAAATGTACTATACTATTTATTTTAAACCATTTAAGTGAAAATATTTTGTTCAGGGTAATTAGTGACACCGTGACCGTGACACATATCATAATGCCAGAATCTACAGTATTTACTAATATAGCCCCACCGCAGCAAACCTGCAGACTAAGCGAATTTCAACTTGTCTGATTACATTTTTACTAAAATATTTCCATAAATAACACATATTTATTCCCAATTATTAAATAACATTAGATTTAACGAGTGCTTAGGTTTGCTGCTACGGGGAAGGTAAAAAGTGTTTTTTAACCATACGTAAATAGTATAGGGAAATAAATTTGCCAAATTTTAGCATCATATATCCATATACAAGTAAACTTCAACAGTTTTAATTTTACCCATAAGAATAACATGAGAATTTTTAAATAAGGTACACCTTTTTTTGAATTTTCTCCATGACCGTTTGGACATCTGTAATCACAACTAAATTGGGCATGAACATTCATGGTGAAACAGTGAACATATTCGGTGATCACAGCGATATCATCTACTTCTCCTGCCATTACGACAAAACAGAGACCTGTTTCGCAGTGTTGAAGTTCGCGTTAACATGAAGATGCAATCAGCCAGAAATAAATTTTACTAAACCGTCATCTTCTTCGTGTCTTATGGGCGCGATACAATCTTGGAAATCTTTTGCGATGACAGAGGGATCATTAACCTCTGTAATATTTATATTTAGTAATTATGGTAATTATATTGGTTCTGGATAATTATGATTGGTGCTATACACTTGGCAAAATGTGATTTTCATTTGCGCAATTTTTGCACCCGCTTATGGCAATTAGGAGAATAAAAGCTCTACCGGTACTCTAAAACAAATACCTTCAGACAAATTATCGGTGAAATTCATTATTCAACAGAGAAAAATTTCCTTCAAGGCCCTGGCAACTGCCATTAGAGAAATACCTGCACAAAGGCCCCAGAAATGTATAGGTATAGCCCCAAGGCATATGGTTTTGGCTGTGGAGGCATAGGTGGGGGGGGGGGGGAAGCAGTACTTGATTTCCATTGGATAAACTTTATCATGGTGTACTACATTTCTTTACTTGGTTTGTGATACTGTAGACTCCCTCTTATCCGGACATCTGTTTAACCAGAATACACTCAGCGGAAATTACATCTCTTGAACCAGACAATTTTCACGACTCTAATGCTACGTGTCTATAATGCTTTCAAATTTAGGTCAAATATTTGGATTACATAACGAGTTTTTCAGGACATCGATTTAACCGGAAAACCCGTTATCCGTACTGGCCTCGGTCCCAAAGAGTGCGGATAAGAGGAAGACTACTCTTTACTTGGTTTGTGATACTGTAGACTCCCTCTTATCCGGACATCTGTTTAACCAGAATACACTCAGCGGAAATTACATCTCTTGAACAAGACAATTTTTCACGTCTCTAATGCTACGTGTCTACAATGCTTTCCTAAATTTAAGTAAAATATTTGGATTACATTTAACGAGTTTTTTAGGACATCGGTTTAACCGGAAAACCCGTTATCCAGACTGGCCTCGGTCCCGAGGAGTGCGGATAAGAGGAAGACTACTCTTTACTTGGTTTGTGATACTGTACACTCCCTCTTATCCGGACATCTGTTTAACCAGAATACACTCAGCGGAAATTACATATCTTGAACAAGACAATTTTTCACGTCTCTAATGCTACGTGTCTACAATGCTTTCCTAAATTTAAGTAAAATATTTGGATTACATAACGAGTTTTTCAGGACATCGGTTTAACCGGAAAACCCGTTATCCAGACTGGCCTCGGTCCCAGGAGTGCGGATAAGAGGAAGACTACTGTAAGTAGTTTTGCATAATTTTGACAGTTCACATGATACATATTTGCAATCAAAGCTTTCAAATTTTAAGAACGACAACACTGTATTTTTACGACCCACAAACAATTAGTCTCAAATGTAAGGGAAGGCTGGATTGGAAAAAATAAATTAAAAGTATTAAAAATCTATATTTTAAATCTTTGCATGTCTAACAAAAATATCATTTTTAAATCCTTCTCTATAAAATAAAATTTAATTGAAATCTCTCTTATTTCTACAACAGTCAAATAAACATTTTATACCTTAACCATCATTACCAAGAGATCATCTTTGAATAGCATTTAGTAGTAAATTCATAATGACTTAATACTTTGAATTTACTATTACTAAAATTACTTACTGTAATTTAAAGCAAAGGAACATAATGCTGTAATTATAATAGTAATTTATATAGCCTAATTGGCATATGGCTTATTCATGATGTAAAACAACTCTTGTTTTTCTAAAAAATGCATTAACTTCTACACTCTTTGTTGGAAGACGATACATTAAAATATTTTTTACAAAATAAATCATACAAAGTTGGGACAGAATGACTAGTATTTACTGTTTCCCATAAAAATATCAGTCAACAGCAGAATTCTGATAACCATATTAGTTACAAAACTGTAAGTACTTGGATAAAATCAATAAAAAATGTGGTACATACGAATCACCCATTTGATGATAAGCGTTTATAGTTTGACAGATTTTGGTTCTACAAGAATGATGGAAGGGTCCAATACCTCATCTTATATACAAATTGAAGAGGAATTCCCAGAATTCTACTGCACTTAACTACACTGGGAACTTAAACGATTGAGCACATAAATTAACTCTAAAAGGCACAGAGTGGGATATTATCCCAACAAGGTAATGATGGTAAAAAGAACTTATTACCTAATATAATAATAATAATCGTACATTATTAACAATTTAAGGAATTGATATTCCTTTTAAAATCAAGAGATCAAAATACATAACACAAAATAGCACAATTCATTATATTAATGATATGTATTAAAGCAGCAAGTGGAACAATGAGAATTTAAGGACTTCATCATTTCTCTCTTGGTCTTGGACTGAAAGAACTTTTAAACTATTGTGCAGTTGACATGAGACAAAATCACAAAACTAAAGAGGTACAAATTCTTTTGCAGATACATATAACTGTGTCAATTTGAATATTGTTCTGGATTAAAAATACATATACTACATAAATGTAACTTAAAAACTGATCCTGAAGAAAGGTTTTAATATAATCTTACTTTTATTTAACAGTAAAATATACTGATTTAAAGACATTATTAATTGTATGGTTTAGTGATTATATAATAAAGATTTTCATTCAGATTTTTTCACAAAAAAAATTAACACAACTGATCAATTCAATAACACACTATTTAAGTTCACTGTACACAATCTTTAGAGCTATAAAACAAAAACGTTGATATGAATCAATATACAATTTGTAATGAATTAAATCACTATGATTAAAAACATTGATAACAATAATTATCTAAAACACCATCTTACTGTACACTGACTTGCATTTTATTGCACATTTACCATTACCTTCTTACCACACACCCTTAAATACCGTTTTAACCCCCCAATAAAAAAAATTTAACTCGTATCTTACAAAAAAACATTTTTGGCATTTGATTCCCAAGATTACTATTTTCACTCTTACGTAGAATTACATCACTCTAAAGTAAAAAGAAAACTCAAGAGTCATCTACTTTGATGAAATGAAGACTGTTTCCGATTTTAAGCGCTTTGTAGAGTCCACCACTGGTTATGGGTTGAGAGGTTCTGGCTGAGCTTACCAAGCGCAGCATTCGAGTCCCTGGTGGTGCTAGAGTTACAGGCTTCACAGGTCTCTGTATCACAACGGGTTTGTTCGTGGCCAAGACTATATTGTTGTCCGTCCCGAACACAAGCCGTTTCTTGGCAGGAGGCTGCTGCGTTGCTGCAGCTGAAAGATCCATGGAGTAAGAATGGTCTGTCTCTACGCTGCTTTTTCCCTCTATCACGTCGTTACTGTCCTCTGTGAAAAAACACAATCAAACAATTAAAACCTGCAATTAATTTAACTGTCAGAATCCTACCATATCGTGGCTTGCAAGACGAAGGGGCATAAGTACATAGGATTATCATATGTACTTACACCCTTTTGTCTTGCACACGTCGATACATATAATGAAAATATCAAACTTAGTGTATCCCCTGATTTCAAAACTTACAAAATAAGCAAAAACCCCTTAAACAGGTATCTAAGGCTTTGTCAAAAATATTCTACACATTACGATGTTTGATAACAATCACATAGCTTGGTTTGTAGGATAAATATAGATAAAAACTAAACAAGCTTAAGATTTCATATGAAAAGCACTAAACAAATAAACAAGAATGAATTTTGAAAAGCTCTTAAACAAAATGCACAAGTTTAATGCTCAAATAAGCATAAAACGTCATGGTGGCGTTGCCTCTGGATCACTATGATTATTACAGTAGTACCTTATGTATCACCAAGTGGTAATTTAACTATAAAAATAGGATCTTAGTGATGTCCATAAAAAATTACAGAACATTTGAAAACTACAGATTACAGACCAGACAAATCAGAGCTGACACCGTCGGAAAGTTCAGTCTTGACCAGGTTACTGAGAAAGGCACTTTCGTAGTTGATGTTATCTGGAAAAAAACAGCAACATGAAAGACAAAGTCAGGCTAGCTTGTAAAATAACTTAAAATATCACCTACACCTCAAAATAAAATACTATACCCAATAAAGTACACAGTGAAGTAGATTAGACCAGTGGTAGCTCTTCTATAAAGGCCAATTTAAACAAGCACGTCCAAAAGCAGGATTATTTTAAAATTTTTACTGATGTGGTTATATTATTCTTCAATACTGCAGTGAGACTGATGGATTAACAAACAAAACATCTTGATCTACATGTCTTACCCAGTCTCTGCAATGAAGGACCAACGTATTGAAACACTGGCTTCTTCCATCCATAGACATCGTCCAGTTTTGTGATGATGCCCAGAGACATTAGAATGTTAGCAATGTCGTATAGCCGTCGCAGTCTCGTCTTGTTCTGTTGGCAATCATCGGCCACCAACACATCGGCTGCCAGTTCCAAGTTAATCAGACCTCCCTGAACACAATAATTAACACTTAGCTGGTTCTTTTATTTATGGACAAACAAAAATATTGTTCTGTAAACTAGTTGCTATGCCCATGCCCCGCCATGAGGAGAGAACGCAAAGAAGATATGGTGATTCTTCACCGTTTTGTCCAATGCAAACTGCTGGATGATTAAGTGTTTGTTCTTGATGTAAATTAATTTTATCAATGCCCATGTCCCAACAGAGAAAAATACTCTACAGATGCACTTTTTCCCTGTTTGAACACATAAGGCTCCGTCCCAACACTTTGATTCTTGTTCTTAATTATATCCACAACATTTGTCTGCAACATAAATTGCCGTATTTATAAAATATATAATACTGAACTAATAATTAAACAATTGAAACTGAATTTAAAGGTTTGAACATAATCCCACATTATATGAAAAACGTAGTGTCATTTATCTTTATGTAATAGAAATCTATGGAAGAATCAAAAGGTTAAGTCAAGGAAAAGTAAACAAACAAACTAAAACAAAAACAAATCCAACAGCTGATGTATCTACAATATTTTAAATGTGATAAAATACATCCCTTCAAATGAGGTTCCTGTCCTTAGGAGAGGGTTTATCGAAAAACTGATATTTTTTGGTAAGTTTCATATCAAGACCTTACATTTAAGTATGCAATTTTTAATTGATAGGTGTACGGGTTATGATTTTCTCAAAAGTTCAAATCCATCATAGCTTGATATTATAGACTAGCAGAGTACCCGTCCTTTGTACGGGGTTGGCATATAAGTATAATACCCCCGCCGCAGCAAACCTGCAGACTAAGCGAATTTCCATTTGCCTGATTGGTTTACACTAAAATGTCTCCTTAAAAATATCACATTCCTTATTTAAATAGAATCAGTTTAACACATACTTAGGTTTGCTGCAACAGGGAGGGTAAAAGTGTTTTTTTTATGTAAAATGTTAATAGTTAGTAAGAAATAAAAACATTTTCCAAATTTGGGCAAAATATGTTAATAAACAAGCAAACTACAACAGTTTACTTATTCTCCATAAGAATAACATGGGAATTTTAAAATTACAATTTTTTGGAATTTTCTCCGTAACCATTAGGTGCATTATAACGCTTCAATATACTAAATTATTTGTTTTTTTAAGCTCTACAAAATAGTTTGGAAAGAAATTGCAAAATTTTATGTATTTTGATTCAAAAATGGGATAAACCCATTTTTACCCCATAAAACCCTGTTCCCATGGTCCGATCATGCTGGTTCGCGAACTCGTTAGAATAAACGTAGCTTTACACGTTTGTACCAAATTTCATCAAAATCGGATCGTTTTTGCTCGAGTTATCGCGCTAACGGACACATATATAAATATATATATATATATATGAATTTGAACGGATGGTGTTTTTGGCTACTAGGGACATCAAAGCAAACAAAAAAATCGGTCCCGGGTCCAGGTCTTACCATGAGTACTACGGTAATAGCTTATTCCCTATATGGGAAATTCGCTAAAATGCTTATTGCAGTTATGCTCAAGCTTTGCATTTGCAATGGGGGAGTACAGAGTTTGATAAAATTTGGTTCTTTTATCAACAGTATGCTGTATTACATACAATAAATCTACCATAGTTATAATGTCCTACCACTGCACCTAAACAATATAAAAAATTAACTATCAAACATTCGCACAATATCACAAGTTATTTATTAAATTAAAAACATGAACATAATTATTGTAAACAATCTTACTTTGACAGTTCTCTCGTAATGTTTCACAGATTTTTGTTGCTGCTTAGTTCAAACATTGACTATACACAGAATAGACTTCCCATGTGATATGAACGTTTGAAGCTAAGAAAATAGATGAAGTTCAGGACCATCTCACCAGAGTTTACTAGTGTATTGGGTTGAATATTAATTCAAACAATGCAGTATCATAGCAAACAGCTGATTGATTGATCACTTAACACAGAATATTGTCATTAGTTGTTGGTGACCATCTCAAGAGAATGCAACACGTTTTTTAGGCTTCAAATTTTTACATTACATCTGTATATTATATATAATACATGAAGCCTTTTTTGTTAACACAACTCCTCCCTTATTTGTGGACCAATTTCAACGTTTAAGGTGTCAAAAGATTCGTCTCAATATGTAGTTTTTCAATAAGGTTTTAGAATAACAAATTCCTACCCTTAAAGGTGCAAGGCATACTCAAAGGTTGACTTTTTCCCATAAGGATTACACAGAACAAATTTCAAAACAAAAAAACAGCTGTTCATAAAAAGAAATTCAGTAGCTTTTTGGGAGCAAATATTGATGTTTGTAATATTCAGGAACAAAACAGCTGTAGTCAAACAACTACAATCGAGGACCACTTGACGGATACAGGTAATTGAAACCTTTTGTTGTAAAAATCAGTTATCCAGATATGTACACAACCGAACTTGTTATTGTTATTGATTGTTGTGAACCTGTTATTGGCGGGCGAAAAACGTTGCTGTTGTGTTGCTGGGAAACAACGATAACTAACATCTCTAGTCTGCAGGTTTGCTGCGGTGGGGGTAAATAATATTTTATCTCTCTTCGTAGATTAAAAATACTACGGCAGAAAAACTAAAAAATCATAGTAAAAATTTGTTGAATTTCATAAAATTGATCGCAAAAGTATAGAAACTATATTTTACACAAGTTAATAAGGAATACAATGAGTTAAAAATTATTGCAATGAAATAAATTATATCGGATATATAAGCGTGGTTTAGTAAACCGTTGCAATTCCTGACTTTGAGGAGGGTTGGGGGGAAAGTACCGGGGGATTTTTGGTAATATATATATATATTTTTGTATTAGTGGCATATAGGTTTGCTTGTCACTAATTTGTTCCGATGCAAAACCTTTATTGACTAGGCTATTGTATGAGAATCTGTTACAAAATGAAGCTACTTTTAAACTATAATATACCTCACCTCAAGGGAAACCAAAAACAGCATCACAAACTTTTGGCAAAGAATGCCAATTCTGCGTTCATTTTTGAAGAAACTGGCAATGTTGGAGTTTTGTATGAACGTGCCGTCCCCTTCACAAGAGTCCACCTCGTCTTGGCCAACACGAAGGTAAAGATTTCGTCTCAGTTGTTCTCTACGTACCTAAACACCCGCACAATTAGATCATGCTGCCAACCTTACTGGATGGAAAATGCAGTTGGCATCATTTTCAACAAAGGTTAAGATTTAAGCGGGGAAGTATAATAAAGTTCACGGTGTAAAAATATTTTTACTTTTGTAAGGATTAAAAATCGTAAAACATAAATAGAGTGTCAGTGGCGATTTTTTTCAAACCTATAGAAATCTGAAAGGTCTCTATTTTAGTGGTAGCTTATATTAATGTTTTACACAGACATAGCTTATTTCGATGATTTACACATTTTCATAATATTGTTTAGTTCAATGAGCTTTGATGTATACTAATAGTTAAAATGTTTTTTTAAACTTTTTACTGGAAAGAACAAGAAAAGATTCTAAAAAAATAATGTGGTAATTACCACATTATTTTTTTTTTATTAATCAAACATTTTTGTCACATCGTCTTGAAAAATATAGGCTACACCTTTAAGCACTTCAAAGAATAAACTTTGAGGTTAGATAAGAACAATTATTTATAACACCACTAGTGATAGGAACTAGGATATAGTGTAAAAGTTATTACTTGTTACCTTTGACTATTGATAGAATTAGACATTCCTCCATGTCAAAAGTTGTTGTCAGTTCATGGAAGACGGCCATCTTGGATTTGCCCACCATGAGAGTGATGAAAATTCAGTTAATTTCAAAGAGCAGCTGAAGAGTTATTTACCATTTAAAATATTTTTCAAACACCAGAGTAATTGTAATTTAGGTAGGCCTATCTAGTGTACTGTGGGATTAGAAATTGTCATTGTAGCTTTTTAATTGATTTATGAATTAGAACGTCTAGGCTATAAGGAGCGTGGGACTTCGGTCCCTGAGGTCCCGGGTTCAAATCCCGCCAAGTCACCAATGGATTTTATCGAAGTAATAATGCTGCAACCCTTAGGTCTAGCCTGAAGTAATGTGGAAAACGATTTTAGGCTCGTGCCTAGTGTCCTAGGACAAAAAAGATGCGGCTATGAGGATTGAATGGTCATTACTTACATATTGTGTTAGACCCAGTTGTTCAGCATATGCTTTCAGCTGGCTGAGAATGTCTGCTAGTTTTCTTCTCCCAGACCACGAGTATGAGTTTTTGCCGATCTGTACAAAATAATATTTTATATTTCATTCACCAGTTTCAAGCATAGTAGAGCTGTAATTATCAACTGGATCGTCCTAAGGAGAAACAAATTAAAATCGTCCAGAAAAATTAAAGTTCATTGCAGTTTGCAAGATGAATCATTGGCATATTTTAATGTGTGTATTTTTTTGTGTCTATCATGTATTGAGTCGATGTCACAGTGATCACTGGGTGACAAGTCATCTGACAAATGCAAATTTCTATTATTGAAAATCCAACTACAGTAGACTCTCTCTTATCCGGATACCTTTTAACCAGACATCGGATTAACCGGACTACTCCCGGCGGAAATGACATCTGTTTAACCGGACAATTTTTATCAGCACATTGGTTTAACCGGACTAGACCGGCAGGAAGTGGTCAGTACTGAAACGACTGTTCTCGTGGGAAAAATTTGAGACCAGTGATCACGTGTCTAAATACAATGCTCTCCTAAATTTAAGTCGAATATCACAGTAAACAGTCTGTTTTAATGAGTTTTTGGGGACGTAGGTTTAACCGGAAAACCCGTTATCCGGACTGGCCTCGGTCCCGAGGAGTCTGGATAAGAGGAAGTCTACTGTATCTAGATTTTTTTATCATCCAAATGCGAACCAGTCCCAATTAATCCGGATAGTTGGAGTTGTACCTATACTTAAATAAGCCATAAAAATATTTTGAACTAATTAAATTTTTCTTATGTGTTACCTGTATACAACAAGTATTAAAGCAATGTCCATCTAATTATATATAGAAACAATTTAGTTGCAGCAAACCCGCATGTATACCTAGTCAGTTTTCAGTCATGTAAATAGTTTTAAAATAACATAAAATGTTACTTAGTCATAAGACCAACACCTAAAATAAATAAAACAAGGGGGACCTGTGCGATTTCACACGAAATACGGTTGAACTGTCTGCTTGTATGAATGAATCCGTTCAGTTAACAAAGTAATCAATAAAAGGCAAGAAATAAGATCTATATAACTAAACTGAAATTTACTGCTTACAACTTATCTTTGAAAACAACTTTGGTTACCTGACCTTTACTCAGCCCTCATCAACATTTTCCACACATTGCTATACAGTAGAACTCCGATTATCCGAATCAATTCCAGCAATGTAACTTACAAAAATTAACTCTATAATTTTATGCATGACAAACCTTTGTCGCCATTTGAAGACTTTCCACAACATTTATGATGTCATAGATTCTCCGTTTCTCCACACCAAGTACTTTAGCAAGATCTGAGAGAAGAATAACGGGTGTCTTATACTCTGAGACGTCAAGCGGAAAAAGTTTCAAAAACCTGTGAAATAATTATTATGAAACATAAAACTAGGCAGAACCTTAATAAGGAATTACTGGAAAACAACATGCAACAAAATGAATCCTGAAACAAAACCATAGGTTAGAATAGAACAAAGGGGGGTTCTATGGGCTTGACTTTACAAGATGGTGTGCAAGTGAGACCAGTAATGACTACTATATACAGTTTTCCGTGTGGTTGTTCTATGTGAATTTCTAGCTTTAGCTGGGTTTGTTTACAAATCAAAGGTACTTCCTTTCCTGAGGATGGGATCAGTTTCAGATCCCAAAACGCTTGTGAACACTTTTTTTACTGATCCTGATAGAAAATGTCATCGATAATTGTAATAGATAACTTCTCAAACACCGTAAAAAATAGCACAACAAAAATTTTAGTTGGCCTGACAAAAATACAAAAAAATGTTGTAAACTATGAAAATATGCAAAGGGTTTTTTTAAGTAAGGGCCATTTGTTATTATAACTTCTTGGTTTGAGAGTAGGTCGCATCAAGGCTCCACACCACTAACTGGCATCATTGGCGAACAGAATGGCACCATTTGCTGCTCTGTAGCAAAGGTGTACGTTTTGACGTGTGTTTTCAAGATTATTGAATCCCCCGTTGCATGCAAGATAACGTCAGTGATACACATTTTTGACCACAAGTAGTATCCGATGCCAACATTCTTCGCTAGATGAGTGAAGTTATGGCCTTAATGAAATGAGCAAGGGTTAAGTGCAGAAATGGGCTAGGGAATTGAAAAATGTAAGTAAAAACTTCCATTTCGGAAGGAATTTTTGGAGGGTAGCCTACCCAGACCTTTCACAGAAAAAAAGGAAAAGATTTTTCACGATTATTTTTACTCTGCACTCTACACTGCAATAATTAGGGCCATAATCTTTAGTCATATGGCGATGAATTTTGGAATTTTTTTGTCCTAGGACGCTAGGAGAAAAGAGAACAATAACTTAGACTAACATAGCATAGACTAACCAACGAAAGTAGACTTCTCATCTCATTGTACATTTGGAAGCCCCCTTTTTGTGTCTAGTTCATGTCCGGTGACACTGATTGCTAGTGTCGACAAAATTTTGTTTCTATTATTTTAAGGTTAATTTCATTATTTGTGCTTTACTGTTTGTTTATATAGTTAGGACACAAGTTATTGTTTATGATTAGATCGTTTTATTTGGTAAGATGAGGTATTTATTAAATGACTGAAATAACAAGAAACAAATTGTAAACAAAACACAACCTCTACAGTACACCAGACAGAACTAACAATACTGGCTTCAGCTGTTCTATCATAAGGACGAGGAAACTTCTAAGGAAGAATGTTTTATCTGGTACTAGCCTGGGATTGTTTTTCACATTACTTCAGGCTAGACCTAGGGGTTGCAGCATTATCAATTACATAAAATCCATTGGAGATTTGGCGGGATCTCAGGAACGAAAGTCCTGTGCTCTACCACTAGACCAGCTTGTTCTCCAATGAATGTTGGCATTGGATATGTTTCTTGTTGTAAAAAAACGTATCACTGACCTAATATCACATGCGGAGAGGAGCGTTGCGGCGTACACGCGAAATAAGAAGCTATACACTAGTGATGTGCGTATCGATACAAGGACCACAAAATATCGATATTTTGTATCGATACGTGGGATTGTATCGATATGCCCGTATCGATACACCTATAGCCAATATCGTATCGAATATCGTATTGTTTATTTATTAATATAAATCTTATTTTTATGGTAAGAAATTTGTCTTCCCATCTTCCTCCCCTCAAAAGTAGTAGTGGAAATTTGATATTTTACCCTAGCATCTTCAAAAACACTGATAAAACATGTATTTTCAGCTAAGTTTTGCAAATAACCTCAAAACTAGGGCCACCATTAATGGAAGTGGGGACCTTCATTGTCCATATTATACTATTAAATGTGTAGGTGGCTGGTGGCATACCCACCATCATTATTAGTACTTTTTGGTTCAATTAATTATCCCTGTGTAAAAACTAGGATGTTTTCCAATTTGAGGATTTACCGGAATTTGGAGGTTATGTATGTATGTTTGATACAAATAAAAGACACAGGAAGGTCTTATAATATAATAAGTTATTAATAACCTATTACAACCCTCTTTACAAGCTTGTAGGTAACATAGTATTTGTCTATGCAGCTTGTATATTTGAGATATTTAATTTTTTTTTTAATTATAAATAAACAATACGATACGATATTTTATCCGATACAGATAAAAATCGATACATGAGGATACGATACGATACACGTATCGATACACCACGTTCCGATACGTATCGATACGCAGTATTGATACATTGACCCGTATCGCCCATCACTACTATACACAAAAAAGCCCTTACTTAAACGACCTTCGTACTAAACTACATTAATATGCATATGATGTGTTGACATTAAAATTTACTGGTAAAATTGTGATATGTTTGAAAAAAGAAACATAGGCTAATGTGAGATGATTTTTAGCAAATTTCACATATAGGGAATAAGCTTTAACTGTAGGTCTCATGGTATCACCTAATAATGAAATTAAGTTTTTGCGGTACCAACGGAACTCCACTTTCTTTTTTCAAGTCATACCCAAACAATAGAACACAAAAAGTCAATATTGATGGAGAATGGTCCCAAGAATTAAAAATAAAATATGGCGTGCCTCAGGGGTCTGTTCTGGGTTCTCTTTTATTTTCAAATTGTATTAACATCCTGTATCCCAGAATATATAACTAAAGTAAAACTTATTTGTATGCAGATGACACAACTTTTTAAATATTAATCCCGATCTTAAACTACTTCAAGAAATAAACTCAAACTCAATTAATGAAGCATCTATCTGGATTGAATCTAATGGTTTTCTCTTAAAATAAAAATAAAACTCAAAAAACTGTTTTTAGCCTTAGACCGTGTGAATTAAATATGTTGGATGGCTATGTAGACAATGTTAAATTTCTTCATATTTATCTGGATAAGACTGGGGACCTCATATCGATTACATTAGTTCTAAGCTTTCAAGGGTAATTTGTCTTATGACTAAACTAATGTACATTGTATAGATCAAAATTATATTAAAACGGCCTACTTTGCTTATTTTCAATCAATTTTTAGATAGATACAATATTATTTTTTACAGCAATAGCAGTAGGATAGAGGAAATTTTAGTCTTACAAAAGAAGTTGGTTAGAATTATATCTTATGAGCCCCTACAGGAACACTGTAAACCCCTGTTCATTCAACTACAAATTTCAACAGTGATTAACATTTATTTATTTGACTCTGTATAATATTATATATTCTAATAAATACGTTATACGGAATAAAAATGTTGCTACCATAGATTTTTTCAGACTGTCTAAAACTTGTAAAAGCCATATTGTAATCTCATTAAAAATATACAACAAGCTAATACATTTAATACCGGTACGAAAATATCCTGAAAATACTTTTAAAACTAAACTCAACAAATGGCTTCTGAACAACCCCTTCTATTCTCTAAATGATTTGATTGAAATGCCTTGTATTAATTTTTAAGTAGAGTTAGCAAATAGACCTAAGTACTGTTGGATTTTGTTGGTTATGGGGTTAAATCAGTTCCATTATTCTAAATGCCACAATTTTGTCTAAAGAATAAGATTATTTAATAGTAATATTTAAAATATGTATTGTAACATGTCCCATTATGTCTAGTTAGCTATTTTGTATTTATTAACTGACTATGCTATAACTTTAGCTGTTTTACTACATTTTCAATAATTTGCAAAAATTCAAAGGACAAAACACATTTCATTTAATTTCATAAGATCAAGACCCGGGACCGATTTAATTTGTCCTCTTGAGGTCCCCAGAGGCCAAAAACATCCTCCATTAAAATTCATATATATATATATATACACACACATATATACCTATGTGTGTGTCCGTTAGCTCAATAACTTTTGAACAAAAATGATCCGAATTAGGTGAAATTTAGTACAAACGTGTAAAACTTTGTTTATTCGAACGAGTTCGCGAACTAGCATGATCAGACTATGGAAACAGGGGTTTAGGGGGGGGGGGGGGTGTTAGTTGGAGGGTCTTATCACAAAATTTCACAATTTCTTTCCAAACTATTTTGTAGAGCTTAAAAAAAGAAATAACTTTGTATATCGAGGCATTGTTTTATGCCCAATAGTTACGGAGATCATTCAAAAAATTTTAAATTTAAAATTCCTATGTTATTCTTATGGAGAATAAAAAAAATTTTGCAGTTTGCTTGTTTATAGATATATTTGAATCAAATTTAACAATTTTGTTTATTTCATACTACGCTATCAACATTTCAATAAAAATAAAAAAAACAAACATCAATCACCTTACCTGTAGCAGCAAACCTAAGTACCGGTACTCATACATTGAAAATAATGTAATTTAAATGATAAATTAGATCTCACGATTTTAAGGGAATATTTTAGTAGAAATCCAGCGAGGTATATGGAAATGCACTTAGTCTGCAGGTTTGCTGTGTCAGGGGTATTTAAATACTAAATTTTAATTTTACAAACATTCCTATTACAATAAGTCAAATCAATTTGCGATAAAAACCTAAATGATTAAGTGATTGGGTACAATAATAATAAACATTATTTGAAATTGCAATTCAGACATAACGTAATGGTACACCATCATGCAGAATGTCCAAAGAAAACGTTAACTTACTTGTCACATAAAAATCCTAGGGATTTAAATTTCCGCAAATTTCCTTTTATCTGAGGATGTACATTCTTTTCAGATAGGCCTACCTCCTTTTTACAAGTTGGTGTAATATTGGCATTTTCTATTGAGTCACATTGACTAGCAACTTTAGTGAGTAGTTTGAGGTTTGCTGTGGGCGATATTGGGGAATCAGCTGTGTTGTTAATGTCTCCCAAAATCTTTCTTTTTACGGGAGACATATGAGATACCGGGTAAAACTCCATTCCTGAAAAAAATACAAAATACACATAAGATTTTTTTTACTTATTAACTATAAAAAGATATAGGCTAAAGTAATATCTCTCTATACCTGGGGTGGATTTAAGCGAGCCTACTCGTTAAATCTACAGTAGAACCTCTTTAATCCGAACTAATTGGGACCGGGGGTAGTTCGGATTATTGAATAGTTCGTATTACAGAACATATTGTTGTTTTTACATAACAATAGACAAAACATGGCTAAATTGGCTCTTAATTGTTACAGGAAAAGTGAACAAATGCTTTACAGAGTAAAATGCAGTGTTTATTTAATACAGTAGTAAACACAGTTAATAAAAAGTAATCTACATTACAATAGAAACAATTACTGTGTGTACGTATACAATAAAGAACTACTGTACTGTGTATGGAGTAGGCTACAGTTCAATGAGGCGTTCGGATTAGTGGACGTTCGGATTACGGGGGTTCGGATTAAAGAGGTTCTACTATATAATGTAATTTAAATAGAGAATAATAAAACAAGGGTTGACTTGTTTATAGAAATATTTTAGTAATAAAATCAGTACCGGTTGCGCCAATTGTTCCTTGTGTAATAAATGAAATAACTACAGGAACGTTAAAAAACAGTTTTCTCATCCGTGCTGACAATCTCATTAACGGATAAGAAAACTCATCATCAACCGGTTACGCACCTCGTGTTCGGCCTATTTGGCCAAGGTTTTTTATTGTAAATACCTAAATGTCGTTTCGTATGTGTTTCGTGTTATGTGTACTAAATTTGCTGATGACCTCATTCACGAATGAGAAAACTTTCTTTTAACGTTCCTACAACCTGAAGATTTGCTCTTAGCAGCACGAAACTGCTTATGCCTATTTCATTTATAACACAAGGATCAATTGACACTTAACAGGTAAACTTAACCTTTTATATTTCAAATTTATTTTTAACTAGGCCTACTCACACCAAAGGGCCTATTAATGAAAATATATCAGTTTCAGTTTGCATTAAAAAATGCATAGGTATCAAGCTCAACACATGCCTATGAGAAGTTAAATTTTGGGTTAGGTCTACTGGTGGTAGGGGGTACGTATTACATACATAATTAATTAGGTACAGGTGTCCTTGAGTAGGTGAAGTTCGAGAACTGCAGTAGCATAAATGGATTAGGATGGTTTGGATCAGTTTACTTCGATCATACTAACAAAATACAATTTACAAAATTTAACCTTTTTATAAAATCATGAAAAAGAGGACACATATAGAAATATACAACATTGTGGATTTATCTCCAAAAAACTAACTTAGGCAACATATCAACTTGTATTTATAAACTTAACCTTGTTTGCAATTATCATTTAAACTAAACTAAATCAAAATCCAAACAGAGAACACTGTAAAAGATTTTGCCACATTAAACTGTTTCAAAAGACTTTCTACGTATAAAATTAGGTGGATTCATTAACTTAATATTGGCAAAAAGTAAACAAATCAATAAGAAGTTATAAGTAGTTATTGTCAAGTCCTTTAGTCGGTGGGAACATATTAACGGATGAGTACAGTTTTTATTTTCTCCCCCTAATTTATCATAGTACATGGATAAAGTTTGGTTTTCGTCAAAATGTTTTTAAAATTTGAGTTTTGAGTGGATATATCTGTTTTGGGCCCCCCTGAACCCAAAAAAGTGGTTTTGGAAGAGATGTCTGGTCTGTGTGTGTGTGTCTGTCTGTCTGCATGTATTTGTGGACGTGTACATGGACAGACCACACCTGTAGTCCGATTTTGATTAGATTTATCATGCAAGTAACATATGGTAACCCCAGGCGTTTTTTTATATTTTTTGTAATTGAGATTTTTAAAAGTGATTTCCCCATAAAAATACCCATAAAATACCCTAAAGGGAAAATGGCCCAAACTGTTTTAATAAACATTTAGAAACTTGTGTTATAGTCCTCTAAATTCTGAACAAAATGTTACAACTCCCATTCCTGTATAACTTACGGTTCAAAAGTTATTGCAACTTTTGAAAAAAATCTGATTTTCTAAAAACCGTTTCTTGACAAATTTTGATTCTAACTGTGTGTATGTTAATAGTCCTTGTAACTCTAAACAAAATGGTTCAAACCTTATTGCTGTAAAATTATGGTTTAAAAGTTTTTGCTACTTTTGTGATTTTCCCCATAAATTATCGTTCTACTCTCCCTGCTTGAGTCCTGTGCCATGATAAGGGTTGTTGACAAGCTAGCGGGAGAAAGTATGTGTCAGATTGCTGATACCGTTTATTTTATTGTTTGGTTGGTTTAGAGTAGTATGGCCAAAAATATATCACTTGTTCAAAATGTGTTTACCGTACTCGTATGGTAATCCCTTGTGAGACAAAGTCAAGTGCAACTAACTTATAGGAACAACCATAGGCCTACTCGTACGGTAAACACCTATATTCCAGACTAGATTAGTAATGTAAAATAAAAAACCGTGTAAGTTAATAGTAAAATAAGTTACTAACATATTACAAAATACCCCCGCCGCAGCAAACCTGCAGACTAAGCGAATTTCAACTTGTCTGATTATATTTTTACTAAAATATTTTCATAAATAAGACATATTAATTCCCAATTTAAATAACATTAGATTCAACCAGTGCTTAGGTTTGCTGCTACGGGGAAGGTAAAAAGTGTTTTTTGACCATATGTCAGTAAAATTACTGTTTAATTGTTGTTAGGATCAACTAACACAGAAATTGCAAAAACACACTTTAATAATCTATATATTAATTTGAAACTGTTTTTCTTTGTGACAGCTATTTTGAGAGAACGGCTGGGTGTAGAAACTCGGTAGAGGTGTCTAAAGAAAGGTCCTGGTCTGTAGATGAGCCATCAAAAGAGAAACATTGAGAATTCCCTCGGGGCTCTGCCCCAGTGGCCTTTCAATTCCCATCCCATGTTATTCTTACGGAGGAAAACGAGGTTTTTGTCACAGCTAATTTGAGAAAACGGCTGGGCGTAGAAACTTGGTAGTGGTGTCTAAAGAAAGGTATTGGTCTGTAGGTGAGCCCTCAAAAGAGAAACGATGTAAATTTCCTTGGGGCTCTGCCCCAGAGGCCTTTAAAGTTCACTCTGCAATTTTGTTTACATTTCGACCATATGGATAATTTTACACTACTTTTAATGAACCAGCTGTTAATATTAAAATTTTATTCAAAGGTCTACTGAAACTGTCAAAATTAAATGTTTACATTATTATTTATGATTTTAAATGGATTCTCCACTGCATGGCAAGTTTTTTTATAGTTTCAAAAAAATGATGAATTTATGAAACATTTGAAATGTTTTGTTCAAAAATCTATGCTTTATTGTTCTTAGAAAATTTTAAATTATGAAATAAGTGTGACTTATCAATTTCAAAGGAACATATAACTATTCCTTATCGGGTTAGCTTATACATATTGTAAGGTTGGCACTTGCCTTTTTTTCCTACTTTCAATCACCATTTATTTTTAAGTTCAAGAAAGAACACCTGAGATTCATTTATTGGTATAACAGTTTTTGATAATCGGGTTGAAAATTGTGTCATAGTTGAGTACGGTACGTTGAGGATGAGAGCTGTGTTCAAGTTTTGGAATAGACTAACTACGGAGTCTATGGTTTTGGTAAAGTAGGTGAACTAATGTCAATTCAGGTACCTATTTAAAAAAATGTGTACACAGTTTTTACTTTGATGTACACATGTAGCTAGGTTGAACAACGCATATAAAACCTCACTACATACAAAACATTCGGAAACACAACAGTGTCATCACATCTCATCGCATATGCATAATTTGTTACCAATGCTGGACTAGGTTATGGATTTGGTTCCGCAAATTTTCAAGATTTGTGATAAAATTTCCTACAATTATGGTTCATTCCAATCCACGAAATACATGCACAGCTTTATGTGATCTATATGGCCAAGGCAAAACTACCCCATAAGTTAATGAATTATCAAGTAAGAACAGGATGATTAAATACATGGGTCGATGTGGCAAGAGAAGGATTTAAAATTGCTGAGATCGAAGTAAGAATGTTACTGCTTTCTGGAGAATCAGATATTTTTATAAAAAAAAGATGAAGATTTACTTATAAATCCGGATACAATCTGAATGATTTTCCTAAAGCAGATGGAATTAGTGGTTAGTAATAAATATTGACTCTTTCCGTAACATGATAGACTAATTATATGAACTCATTCTCCCATATAGTGAAAGTGGCTTTGGTATGAAACAAACTCATGAACAAACAATTATAAGACTCCTAAAAACCTTTTGGGCAACCTAAAGCCGATAAAAAGAAAGGTAGGAAATATTGTGTTAAACGAATTCATCAATCACGTTTTTTAGGGAACACAATCGTCATACTTATTATTGCTTATCCTCCCTTCATATAACTAAGATTTTAATGACTTCACTCTATCCAACGCAGTTAGCTGAATTTACATAAACCCTCAAGATTAACCGTTGATTTCGACGGGGTTCCACTAGTAAATCATTATTTTAGCACGCCTAAGTTAATCACTTTTTAACAGTTTCCAGTTGTGTTTAAAATGGCATAGGCTCTAATGCTATAATGACTGTGATAGTCGATGTTTTCAAAACATCGATGTAACTTAAGTTATTTGGTCAAGTATTGAAATAGCCTATCAATGTTTTTCATAGGCCTAACTGAATTGTATTAGTGTTACAGGTTAATTAGCTATTGCAGTATAGAGAGCGAACGTCATACTGAAAAAAGTGATGTTTTTGCGACGATGTTATCGGCACATTGATGGTAGGCCTACCGGTAAGTTAAACATCAATGGTTGACCTATCAATGCTCATGCCTAGACTGTGCAAACAAAATTTATACCATGACCTACCATTTAAGGTTGATGATATGAGTCTATATAGGTCTAAGAACTTAGTTTTTGCCATAACTTACAAACATTAACTTAGGCTAAGCTATGTTTTTCCTAACTTTACCTAACTTTTATATGGAATCATCGATACGTTAACTTGTATCCTAGCTGGATGTAGGTAAAAAGATTTAAGTGAACAGGGCGTATATGCATAATTTACAAAACCAAGTTCTTACTTGTTTGCAATTTATAAACCAACCTTAAAATTAGCCTTATTAGCAAAGAGCTTCGAATGGTCATTTGGAAAATTAGCCTAAAATAAATAGGCATCGAAAAAATGCTTGATTGAAATATAAGGTTAATTAAATGGGAAATCAAGTACAGTATACTGAATAGGCCTAATAAGATGAAGATAAGAAGTATGACAATGGGCTAGATGATTCATTGCTTGAATAATTTGGCCACATCATAAGAGTTTTGCCTATACTATAACTTAAGTTTAAAACTCCAGTAACTGAATCGTGATAACTTAAGTTAATAGAAATCAATAATATTACTCACTCTATTGTCCAATTAAACTTAAATTAATCCTCGTATGCGATTTTACACATTACCAGAGACATGAGCGAAAAATTACCCGCGATCTCATCTCATCTATCTACTTACTTAGTTACTTACTTCTCACTTGCTGCTGACTGCTGAGTTTGCAGAACATTTTGGGCGCGTGTCCTGGCGCCTGGCGCGTGACATCATACGTATTTAAACTGCCACAGCCACTACAATTACGCGCCAAAAACAAAATAAATAAATACTATACAGGGTGAACAACTTAACTGTGCCGCCATTGGTATCTCAGAAACTATTAGATTTAGAGTAAACATTGAATGGGAAACTTCGACTAGTTGTTAATGATATAAAAAAAATATGAATATTCTAATGTTTAAAAAAATACCGTCATTTTCACTGTTTCACACAACGCACACCTGCCTGTTAGCCTGGAAGCCTGTTAGCGTTAGCGGGTTAGCGGCGCTTTTTTCGAATTGTAATAGATACGGGTTGGTACGCCTGCGGTGTTTTGCAGGGATGCCGGAAAAAATTCAATGACAATACCATTCATAGATGAAGTAATATAGTGTTTATTTATTCTTAGACAATACACATCCGTTTCAATCGCGGATTACTCCTCTGAAATGCGCATGCGCGAGTAAACCGTTCTGTGGAACTGTGACATATATCAGATTTATCTGTTACAACGTTTACGTTTACAAGGAATTGAATGTAGCACACAGGACAGGTTGTAACTATATGTCTACTTTTAACCTAACCAACCCATATTAATACAAGATGATGACACAGGTAAGGCAATTGGAAAAATCCAATTCCACTCGGCCATTTGTATCCGTTACGTAAGAAGGTAACATAGATGCAGTCAAAACACGGAGTAAACATACTTATATTCTTAAATTAACAGCTAGACTGAAACCACCTTATAGGTCAGGCCAACTTCATCTCTGTGTTACAAAGGAACCTAACTTCTCACATTCCTTTTTATTATTCCAAAAGCTTTACCATAATCACTAGTACATTTGATAAACATGAGACATAAACTACTTTATTCATGCCTGACGAACATACAGCGTGAAGTGATTGAGTGCTTATAGTTTCAGCACAAAACTATAAAATAACTTAAGTATCAATTAATTTGTAAATACTTAACTAGCATAACTTAACTTACATAATATTAGTTTACATATTTTGAGATAGGTCTAGGCACTAGGGTAAAAATAAACAAACGGATGAGCAAGAACGAGAAAGTAGACTTAAGTCTTCTGCATCCAATAGTCAATGGTAAAAGCAAAGCGCGGACTATAGTAAGTCTATGGTATTTCCATCACCATTCCCATATGTTTTAGGTAAATAAACAAGCTGGCTGTTTTTAAGATTTTAATGGTAAGAGTTTAGTACAACCGTTGACTGTAAATCCTTGGTACAACCATAGATTAAACATACTTGGTTAGTCTATGGTACAACCATCCACCACTGTGACGTAGAGTTGCGCTGCCCGTGCTGCAGCATGGCCTGTTTTTTCTAGTGGGGCCTTGACTATAGTTGGTTAGGAGGTTGTAAGTTGTGTTGTAACCATTAGGTTACAACACAACTTACAACCTCCTGTGTGCTGTATTCAATCATTGACTATACCTACAGGTATATATAGTCAATGATTCAATTCATTGTAAGTTAAACGTTGTAACAGATAGATCTGATATCTGATATGTCACAGCTCCACGGAACAGTTTACTCGCGCCTGCGCATTATGAGAGGAGTAATCCGCGATTGAAACGGATGTTGACAACACTGTCACGTAGTTAAAGGCGGCCGTGATACTGTGCCAAATGGCATAATGATGTTTTACATGTATATAATGTCAACAATACCTTGATAAAACGTGTATACACGTGATGAAATATTTAATTCATGTATTGTAATAGGCATATTTGAGGAAGTATTGTACATTATACGTATAGCTATGGCTGAACAAGACACGTTCAATTAAAACTCCCAAAATAAGTGCTTAATCTTTTCCTAAACCCATCACATCAACTTTGAGCTATTCTAATCATCTAATGGTAATATACAATGTTTAGAATAATCAGTATAATTATGATTGAAACAGTCCCGTAAATTACGCAGCTATATGGTCAAATATATATGGGTGATAGCACAGATAATATAACCCCTGGTGATAGGAACTCGCGATAGGAAAAAAGTGCACAATCTTTTTCCTAGGCCCATCACATCAACTTTGAGCTATTCTAATGGTAATATTCAATGTGTACAATACTCTGTATCATTGAGACAGTCCCATAAATTACGAAGCTGTAGGCAAATCTATAAATAATGGTTAATGAGCACGCGTGACAGGAAAAAGTACACAATTTTATACAAGATTGTGCAGTACAATTTTTTACAGATGGCTTAAAAACTACCGATGGGACTGGTTCCCCTATTCACAATATAAAACTGGACATAAAATATAAGTTGCAATAAGAGTATATGACTAATCATAGCGTAGAACTATACGCTATCTCCATTTTCCAAAGGCATCACATTTTGTAAAAATTCTCTCAAAATGAAGAAAACATTGTTATTTTTTCAGATTCGCAATCTGCAATATTTAAAATCTGTCAAAGGTCTTATAAGCATTCAAATGAAGTTGTCAACAAAATATTATCTGAATTAAAGCCCGAAGTGCTATGCACTTCTGGGTTCCAGGACATTCAGACATTACTAACAAAAATGAAATGATGTTTATTTCCCAACTGAAAAATACAATTCATGGTATTTTACCAAATAAAACAGCTGACAGATTATCAAGAGAAGCTATTAGTAATGGAATGGAGATGTTGTAGACATACACATCTCCTTCTCAGACTACAAGTCTGGTGCAACGACAACAAATTAGTACTAAATGAAAACAAAACATCAGTTTTAAATTTTTTCAACACAAAGGCACCTGACCATAGCCCTCTCTTAAAATTAAAAAATCAAAACTTAAAAATAAATGATAACGTAAACTATCTTGGAATCAAAATAAGCAATAACCTTAGATGGAATATCCACATTGATCATATAACCTCAAGACTTGTGGTAGTATGTTGTCTTATGCGCAGAATACAAAACATAGTGGATCATCATATCCTGATGAAAGTTTATTATGGCTGCTTTCATAGCGTATTGAGTTATGGCATCGTACTTTGGGGCAACAGCAGTGAAGCAAACAGAGTCTTTCTACTGCAGAAGAGAATTATTAGAATAATTTGTAAAACCCATTTTTTAGAACATTGCAGACCACTTTTTATTAATCTTAAAGTTCCCACCCTTACCTCCGTTTATATATTGGAATCAGCTATGATGAAATGGAAATTTCCGGAAGTCTTCAAACGCAACCACGAAGTACATAATTACAACACCAGGCAACAAAACCATATACACCTGAATTGTCACCGAACATCATTAGTGACAGCTGGACCACATCACACTGCAAGTAAGATATATAATAAATTGCCGGAAAAAATAAGAAGCTGCCAAGACAAAAATGTATTCAAGAAAAACCTCAAAAATTATTTAATAGAAAAGGCCTATTACAAGCTGGAAGAATTTTTGGAAGAATTAAGAGAAGATAGGCCCTACCTGAAAATTAAACAATTTTGACGACCACGGCTGGAAAGCTACTAGTGGGATCAACACAAGTATACAAGTAAGTAAGTATACAAGATATTTAGAAAGAAAGTCAATAGAGAATTCTACAATGATTTAATTTTACAAACCACTAAAGGGTGATGGTATAAAAAATTACAGGAAAGATTGCCAACAAAACCATGGTTCACATACAATTAAAACTCAGTAGGATGGAAATGAAAACAAAAATACAAACAAACTCAACAGGAATCATTGATTGTGCACATTTATGTTCAATAACAAATCTATGTAAACTAGCAAAAGCCTTAATTGCAGGATGAATAATTGGAAGCAACAAGCAACCACAACTCAGTGTACATCGAAGCTGACTGGTCTACTAACCGAAGCCTGCTGAGCAAACTGGAGGAAAAAAAGTGCAATGCAAGCAAGCGACCGATCAAACACTACCACTACACTACACTTACTCACTCACTCTCACTACAAAAAGCAAGCAAAGCAAAGCGCAAACAAACAGAAAGAAACAAACGATAACGAAAAACGAAACACGAAACCAAACAACCAAACCGGCGACTCGGTGAGTGACGAAGGTGAGGCTATTATTTTGGCTATTTTAATAGAAATATTTAACTTAGAGTCAACTTAGCATATTAAGTTTATTTCATCTTTCTTAACTGTGTGTTGTGTGTAGTCCAAATTGGAAGTAAACTTGACATTTTGAAATTGGGCATAAAAATAGGCCTAGGCCTACCATACTGGTCAAGTTGATTTGATTTGTTATTGTTTTGGATGCCCGATCCACCTTAACCCTCCGAGTGTCACGTGTTTTGGCCTTAATGTCAGCCTATTTTTTGCTCATTTGCAAGGTTTTATTAAAACTGATCTGAGAAGCTTAAAAACAATGTTAATTATACTGTTCTATATACCATTTTGTTTGGAAAATCTTGGGCTTCAATATTATATATAAAACATAAGGAAGATTTAAAAAAAAAAAAAAATTTTTAGGTAAAAAAATGTATAATTTCGAAAATTTTCAAAAAAAAATAAGTTTGCGCTCAATGAAATTGTATAAATTATAGGCCTATAAATATTTGAAAATAGCCACTTTGTTCTAAATTTTATGAGGATTACAAATCTATAATAATATAAGGAAGTAGATTTGCAAATAAAAAAGTTATGGGCAAAAAACAGATTTCAGTACATAGCGTTTGGTAAAACTGAGTTTTTACTACTTATGTTATTTTGACTTTTTTTTACTTTATTTACCTAAATTAGACTATTTCGAGCACTTTTTACATTTAACACTTTTGGGGGAAACGCCGTTTTCACCCTCAAAATCGCGTTTAAAGTTTGCTAAAATTGATAGCGGGACGAGGTTAACAAGCCATTTTTTGACATTTCATTTCTGGTCTGGTCAGCAGAAGGACGAGTCCAAGAGCTTAGAGGAGGGGAGTAAGGTACAGTTTCTTAATTGAGCTAAGCCAATGATTAAAGATATCGATTGGAAATATCGATTAATAATATCTATTATTAACTATTTTAATTATAAAATAAAACTGTCATAACTTAACATGACTAACCACACTCGCTGATTATGAACAAATCGAATTAATGTTTACTAATCTAATCGATAGTTTGATCGATATTAGCGTAGTATTGTTGCTTCCTTCCACCATGTGTTGCGGTATTAGTGTGATATTATGGGAGTATTGTTGGAGAAAGTTGTTTACCTTTTAGTTGTGAGCAAAATGGTGGAAGAAGCTGATGCAAATTTTTGTGAAAATTGCGATGCAAATTTATGTGAAAGTTGCGAAATTAGTTTGTTGGAGACGGGTGCGTGGGATTATGACCGGGTGGTGAGGTTTTTGTTGGACCATGGAATTTTCCACCGATCCGTAAATTGTCCAAACTGTGGTAGAGTATGCGTGTTGGACAGAATAAATTTACGGTACCGGTGCCAGAAAAGCCGACGTGATCCTAAGAAAGGAATACGGAGATGCAATTTTTTCTTAAGTGCGCGGAAGGGAACCTTCCTAGAAAGATCCCATCTCCCTCTAGAGAAGTATGTTCAGCTGGTGGCGTTCCTGCTTCTTTTAAAACCCCCACGACACTATTTGATTAGGGAAGAACTAGGGGTATCCGACCACTTCGTGGTCGATTGGTATTCCTTCTGCCGCGAGGTCTTTATTGACCATTCTCAAAGAAACTCGGCCATGATCGGAGGGCCGGATAAAATCGTAAAGATTGATGAGGCCAAATTCGGCAAACGAAAATACAATCGCGGTAGAGTTGTGGAGGGACAATGGGTATTCGGAGGTGTAGAGCGCGGGTCAGGGCGTAGTTTTTTAGTACCGGTAGACACAAGAGATGCCGACACGCTCTTGGCAATCATACAAGAATGGATTATCCCTGGCACGACCATTATCATCGATTGTTGGCGTGCCTATAATTGCCTCCAACACAATGGTTTCAACCATTTGACGGTTAACCATTCCGTTAATTTTGTGGACCCTCAATCTGGTGCGCACACAAACACAATAGAGCGTCAGTGGAGAGATGTGCGCCATACAACGCCCAGATTTGGTGTGAGAAAAACCCATTTCATCGGTTATTTGGCTGAGTACATGTTCAAGGTCAAATACCCCTACAAGATCAGACTGCACGAATTTTTCCGTGCAGCTGCTCAGCTCTACCCTCCACCTCAGTAAACCCCCAAAACCTTTGTACATAGTGTAAATATTTTCTTCCCTTTTGAACTATTTGAACTATATTGAAGTAAACCCCCAAAACCTTTGTACATAGTGTAAATATTTTCTTCCCTTTTGAACTATTTGAACTATATTGAAGTAAACCCCCGTGTACATAATGTAAATATTTGCTTCACTTTTGAACTATATTGAAGTAAACTCCCAAAACCATTGTACATAGTGTAAATATTTTCTTCCCTTTTGAACTATTTGGACCATATTAAAGTGTATCTTGCCATCTGGGTGTCGTCTTGTTTGGTGAGTAGGCCTAGTCTTTTAAACTACGTTTGGTTATGTAAGATAAGGTTAAGTTATAATTAATTTGACGGAACTGTTCTGAACTAACCTAACCTAACCAAACCTGCTGTATGGTTTCATAAATCTGGCCATCTGGGTGTATTCTTCTTTGGCTAGCAGGATTATATACTACGTTTGGTTAGGTTGGTTAGGTTAGGTTACATTAGGTTATAATTAATTTGACGGAACTGTTCTGAACTAACCTAACCTAACCAAACCTGATGTATGGTTACATAAATCTGGCAATCTGGGTGTATTCTTCTTTGGCAAGCAGGCTTATATACTACGTTTAGTTAGGTTGGTTAGGTTAGGTTACATTAGGTTATAATTAATTTGACGGAACTGTTCTGAACTAACCTAACCTAACCAAACCTGCTGTATGGTTACATAAATCTGGGTGTATTCTTCTTTGGCGAGCAGGCTTATAGGCTATAATACGTTACGTTAGGTTAATTTATAATTAATTTGACGGAACTGTTCTAAACTAACCTAACCTAACCAAACCTCTAGAATGTGTAAGCAAACTCCTTTTGATGTCAGAAAAGGCATGTCAGGGTGATAGGTCGTGCTGTATGTGATTTGGTGACTGCATTAAGTCCTTTGAAGGTAGGTTAGATTAGGTAAGTTAAAGTTTAGGTTATAATGTATCGAGTTGTTAGTTTATGTTGCCTGCAGACTGTTTTTGTAAAATTAAAATTTGGCGAAAAACACTTCAAATTACTATTTCAAAAATGCAAGCATTTTTGAAATAGTAATTTGAAGTGTTTTTCTCAGGATTTTAATTTTACAAAAACAGTCTGCAGGCAACATAAACTAACAACTCGATACATTATAACCTAAACTTTACCTTCCTAATCTAACCTAACTTCAAAACACTTAATGCAGTCACCAATTCACATACAGCACGACCTACCACCCTGACATGCCTAAATAAGAACTACATGTAATTAGTCCACCAGTCCATCTCTATATCTCCATAATGTGACGAAATTCCTATTATAGAGAACATCTTCTTTGGTGAGCCAGGCGGGTACAGTTTCTTAACTGGGCTTTACTAATATCGATTGAAACTATCAATTCGATTAGTAAACCTTTATGCGATTTTTTCACCATCAGCAAGTATGGTTGGTTAGGTTAGGTTATGATAGTTTAATTTTATAATAGATATATTTAAAAATATTGATTATTATTCAATATTTTCAATTCGATAGTTTCATTTGGTTAGGTTAAGCTATAATTAATTTGACGGAACTGTTCTTAACTAGGCCTAACCTAACCTAACCAAACATGCTGTATGGTTTCATAAATTATAGTCTTACAAGATAAAAGGCATGTGTTGAAGACAGGTCGGGTTTTCTGACGATTCGTGACTACATTAAGTTCTTTAAAGCATTTTCAAATCGTTTCCTTTTTGTCTAACCAACTAGGCCTACTCCAGATATAAATAACAATGTGGTGTAACACGAAATAAACAACCCGATTACCTATAACCCACACTTTACTTTCCAAATCTAACCTTACTTTAAAACACTTAATTTAAGCCAGGAATCCTCATAAATCCCGACCTGCTCAAATAAGATCATTGGTCAATTCCCCTATGTGTTTCATTAGCTTTATAAGTTAACTGTTGTTTTTTCGTTGACATTTCATTTGTACTTGCATTACTGTACCCTTACCGTGAAGTGGATGTAGTAGAGTAGAGGTTATAATACCTGCGAGGTATTATCGGATTAAATATCGATTTGGATGTTGTTCGATATATCGCTTATTAAATCATTATTTCTAATCAGCTGGTAACATTTTTAGAGCCCGAGAGTAAGTAGTCACCGGCATATCCCTCCGCTCCTTGTTCCTTGCCAAAGCGTTAGAGAAAGTAGTTCCATATATTTTCTCAATTTTCAGTGATTTCAGCTTCTTAAAAAAATGTTTTAAAGGTATTTTACCGTTTATAAGGATCGTGGAAATGTTTTGGGAAGGTTAAAAACAGTCCAGATTAAAAAATACACCACTCAAGGCTGCCAATATTTATTTTGTTCTTTTGGAACACAATCTATGAACGTAATTTTAATTTACCTACCACCATAATGGCCATATATGGCCTTATTGTGATAATTTTTGGCAAACTTTAAACGCGATTTTGAGGATGAAAATGGCGTTTCCCCCAAAAGTGTTAAATGTAAAAAGTGCTCAAAATAGTCTAATTTAGGTAAATAAAGTAAAAAAAAGTCAAAATAACATAAGTAGTAAAAACTCAGTTTTACCTAGCGTTTAGCTAAGAATGCATAGCCCAACCATAGCTAGGAATCTGGCTGATAATTTACATCAATATCACTACCTACTTCTTCAGGATCATCAACCAGCACTTCAAAACCACTTAAATCTTCTTATAATGCACCACGTATATCACTACTTTTGATTTTTAACACTAAAACAATGATAAACGTAATAAAACACATCAGTCATCGGTCCGAGGGTAACCTAGCTGTTTACAAATACACGCACGTCAGCTCAGTCAGCTGTCTGCTACAATATTTTCGGAACTAAAATGAATAGTGCTTAGAGACAGACCTCTGCAGAAAGCTTAGAATATTACGGACAGAACGATACCTAACTCAATCCAGTACAGTCCGATTCAGTTAGTCATAGAGCCTTCGCCGTAAACAGTGTTCGCGAGTCGCTGCAGCGACGCACGACACTATACAAAGTGCGTTACG